CCCGAAACAGAGGTGATTTTTTTCAGTATAAGTACATAGAACTGAAAATCTAACCTACGTCTTTCTAGTGTTATTGACTAGATGTTATTAAATACGTATCTACCTAGAGTTAGAAATAAACTACACACAAACCCAAATCAAACACTCTAAAAAGAAACAAACAATAAAAACACAAGTGCTAGCTTAACATAAAAGAGGATTTATAACAACAAAAACCAAACAAATACTTTATAGGAGCAATAACAAAAAAAATACAACAATAAAACAATAAACCAAATATAAGAATGCTAAAATCCGACCATCCTTATATGGTAATACGGTGTAATAGTTATTTAACCGCAACAATGCGATTCGTCACCAATTAAAGATGTAGGGTGTGCAAATTAATTAGCAGGATCATTAGGAACGGCGCCAATGACACATAAAACTACCGTATTATGTTCATTTTACTCAATACATTGATCATAATATACACACGTGACTAACGAATTAATTATTCCACAGAATACAACCATAATCATCAAAATTCCTGTGAAGTTTGACTGTGTAATTAGTGCAATAATTATATAGGTACACTCATGTCTTTATCATTCAAATTTAATTCTTAATGATGAGATCATTCGTCATGTTTTAGATTGTGATGATATTTTATTCACAGTATACGAGATAAATTGAGTGAATCATAGATACTGTATTGTCATTTGTTTATTACACGAAATTTTTATAAGAAGCGGTAATCGGTTAAAATAATGATGATGTTCTAGCCATTGTTATGTTAATCAAAGTGGCAAATGCTTGCGAACTATGTATTAAATGAAGCAAATGTTTTGTTATAAATAATGTAAAAGTCTGAGGTGATTTATATTGCTAACGCTTACCTAATCTGCCATTATAAGAATGAATGTCGTATCTGTATAAAGTTCTAATTTATGTCCTGGATTTAAGGAAAGCCTTGACTGAAGGATTTAAGGCTTCGAAAATATTAAGTAAGCTGATAAATATAGATATGACAAACTATTGAATATAAAAAGATAATGTTACTTACTAATATACTTGAAGAATAAACAAGGACGATGATTTATCAAATATCTCAGCGACAGTTATCAAACTAATTACATAATAATCTGAAACAGAACACTTTGCGTCTATACATTTGTTCAGCTCTGTATAACGAATATTCTAATCTACAAAATGTCGCTCAAATACATCAAACTTGTCATCATTACTCGGTGAGACCAGAAAATAATTACTTGTATTAAAACAAGGGCACGTTCTAATCAAATCATGTACTCGGTTTCGTAAGCGTTTAATTAACTCTGAGAACGATGCAACCACGAACTTTCGTAACTGGTGTACAAAACTAGGTATAATAACAGGACAACTATATAATAATATATACAATGTCTCAATTACACCCGACCTGTGTGGTCCAAATGATTATATATAGTCTGTAATAAAAAATACAACAGCATTGTCGATATTTAGAGCAGCTATTACGCTCAACCAACTTGTAATAGACAAGTTATTAGCATTATTATGGACATTATAGAAAATCGGCAATTCGTTTCATCATTGTATTGAATTCATGTTATTATAGTTGAGCAAGTTATGAATAGCGTAATAAATATGAAAGTTTATATTGATATATAGAGAGAAAATATTGTTCGGTGGGAGAACCTACTCTTTTTAAGGAGGGAAAATCATCCAATGACTTCTCCCGCCTGAGTGTGGCGGTAGGGAGTGTCTCTTACTGACTAAAAACCACCCCGTTTCTATTCCTGCCCTTCGAGCCCCGGCAACCGGTTAAGTCCTTCACGGCTCCGTATCGGCATCAGCTCTATTGGGCCCCGTCCATGGCGGTCTAATGGCTCTTTGAGGTGCGCGCGGAACACGACCCTACCGTACGCTCGGGGGGAGAACCTACTAGTATGGTATATTGATGGTACAAATATAAACTATATATAAACTTCAAAAATACGTCTACAAAAAGTTATTCTGAGACCTGAAAAAGCTATGCAAAGAACTCAAAACGAACGCATGAGCCTGTTTTGACAAAAAATCCGCACTGATAACATTTCACAAAAGTCAATAATAAGAAAGAAGGCTATTGGAACACCTCAATACAATTAAAACTATCACAATTGATCAAAACTCGAATAATTCAACGTTCAACAGCATATTATCGTCGGACGGTTAGAGAAAAATAACCGTTCGGTGTTAGTAGAATGGGTTGGTGACAGTAAATTTGGACAATGGCTGGCGGTCTCTATATTTATGTGTTTGTTATCACGCTCGGAAGTCTCCTATCTTACTCTGATTTACACTAGACTCTTACTGGACAAACAGTCAACAACGTGAGAATGTACTTTTAACACCTTTAGTGCGATAAACGAGTTCACAGCTCGTTACAAACGTACGTGGACATACTTTATCGAGGTAACTATCATTATAGAACATTTACCCAGTGAAACAGTCCAAAACAATTCCAGATTACAAGAAACGCTAAAAGCTTCCCACCGCGATTACGTCAAGTTAACTTTTTGCACACGTGTCGAACAATATTTGATTACTATGTATGCAAACTATCTACGATTGATGTCACAGCACTTGGCCGCCTAATAGACGCCAGGTTCAAAGTCTATACATTCTTTCGGTTTTCCCGACCATGATTGAACCGACTAAAAATAAAAAAATGACTTAATACTTTGTTAAATTGTCTCGTTATAAGTCTCAATCATGCGCTAATATTATCACAAATAAAAAACAAAGGCGAAAAAAGCTCAGAAGCGGATTTAACAAGTGTAGATGACATAGAATCTGATGTACCAATATTGGACCAAGCGATGACTTTAGCCGTGGGTGTATCATATCTCGTATTTCATCGTATGCATTTTTGAGATAGTAAAATACATAAATGACGATACGACACGATTGTTTATCGATACGATTGTTTTGTCTAGTGAAACATTAACTTTATCACCAACTTCCCGGAAAATAGGCCTGTAATGGGCGTAGCTTTAGAGGAATCGGTAACAGCGAATAAATCGTCAAAACAATAAAACCCTTAAAAGCGGAGCAGTAAAAATCTATTAAACGGACAATCGGTACCACCGGCGGTGTTCACAATTTATAGACGGGGTGATATGTACACGAACGGGTTTGTAATGACGACATGATTGTCGACAGTCGACATGGAAAACAAGTAAAAATACAGCCGTGATAAATGAACCGAGTGAGCACGCGAGCATCATTACGAGCGCGGCTCTGATCATCTACGTCTAGTAAAAGGTCGTATAAATGAAGGTCTCATGACAATATATTTATCCTCAATTTATTATAATAATAAAATAATAGCGCCATTTTATTAGTTTTCTTGTTCGTCCCGACGACATTACCTGTCTAGACTAAATTGCACTGAGATGGAATTTACGTCGAAAATTTTTCGCACGTTCGCGACGGATTTTCCTATAACGTTTAAGTAACTTAGAATATTTATTTTCTATGCAGTTTTAAACATTCACACGTTTCATACATTGTTTTGACTTTAGAAAATACATGTTTATAGCTTAATTACTAATGAACAACACTGTTGAATCGATACGCAAAATATACGTATAAGTCAAAGGGATCCTATTCTCAAAACAAATAGACCTGTCATTAAGTGGACGTGGCTTTTAGTTAAAATCGAAGTAGCTGTACGGGTGGCGCATTTGTCTAATGTTAACTGACAAACAGATGCGAGGTCCGCACCGTGATAACAACAGCGAACTATCTCAGAAATGCCGATGGTTATTTATGTCTATGACAGGCGATGAGGGGCCGCAGCGACGAACAAAAGATCAGACAAATGATCGAGATAATCTAAGATTTAATGCTGAGCAAATCATTTTACAAAGTGATATGTAGTGAGATAGAGCCATATATTATGTAGATAATCCATACAAATATCGATTTAAACATTTATTTAAAGATCCTTGAGTAGATCTGATTGCTTTCTGTTGCCTTTGGAAAAGTCGGAAAATGTAATGTGTTCTCTACACATTATCATTTTCAGAATCTCGCTAGTACCTACATTATCTTCATAATATATAAGGTCCAGTAAAATTGAGTTACTTAGTATTTTAATAGACATATCAATTAACAAAAATATGTAATATGACTTCTTCGATAGTGTCAAAGTTTACGACATAATAAAACGCCGTGTGTTTTAGTTGCAGGGGACAACTGCTACACGTGAGCCGGCACGCATCGTTGCTGCGACAAATGCCTTTCAAATTCCGAAAGGCATCGGATCCCGCGTGGGCGGCAGACGCCATCGACACAAGCGCTAGATGTGACCAAGTTCAATTGAATACGAGAATAGGTACCTCTACCGGCACCGGTCGGCTCGACGGCGGCCCTAAGGCGCGCGCGCCGCACCGCCCACGCATGCGCGTAGATTTATAACATTACCCATATTCGGCCTACGAATGGCGCCAATTCGACGCTTCAAATTAAAATCCGCCGCGAATGCAAAACGAAAACTTCGCGCTTTGATAGATAGCTGTTCCGTTTCTGATTTACGCACCACCGTATAAGGGGAGTGTAAACTTGTTAAGACGTATCATCCTTAGGCTAAACGTCGTTGAATTAAGTCAATATCAATCACGAGTCTTTACTGTTCTTTGGATTTTTTTACGTTTTATGGCTGCCATCATTTAAAACGGGCGATGGTTTCAGTGCCTTTAAAAAATGTCGATACTCGGTACGCCGCAATCTGTACAATATTTCAGCGTGAAATATTGTGGCGGTTCGATATTAACACAACAAATAATACGTCACTTCTCAATGCCTGACTTTCAAAGGTTTATGTGATAAAGATTACGTCTGGAGAACGTATGTGTATGTGTGAGATACATCTTCTACTTGGGCGAGCTAAAAAGGCTCGGCGTCGGTCGTGAAGACGTCTTACACGAGCGCGATTAATCGCACGTAAACAGCGTCGGGGAAGATGGACTTACTCTGTCACTTTGTCCTCGGGAGGTATTATGCGGCCTGGCATTAAAATTTTCTTGTGTAGTATACCCGCTGCTTGTAATTCCTATAACAAAGAAACCAATAATTATATCTGCATAGTACAGCACTTGTTGCTTGTGGCGTTACGTATGTTTGACACAAGAAGTTACAGTTATTATTTATACTCATATTTATTAAATTCAATAAAATCAAATAACTCGTAAATTCGACTCAGAACAAACGGGCCGCCAAACCTCGAGTAACAAGTATTGGAATGAAATGTTAAGTAAGTACACATTAGTTTTAAGCCGGTTCCAAATGATCGTGTTATTAAAGATACGCGTTTGATAATGAGATTATAGAATGTAAGTAGAGCATGGAACAGTCGATCTTATACAATACACGGAGGAGATAATAAATGAAGTACTAACATGTGGACAGGTTGTTTTATAGGAAGGAGACAGCGTCCATGTTTAGATAAAAATTAATTGTGATAATACTGATTGTGAATTATAGAGTTTATACACAATCGTTTTACCCAGTGCATGACAAATTACTCAGTTATGCACAGCATATTTTATAAACATAAGTAACCAATCAGTCTGATCAACTAAATAAAAAATCTGGGCAGTACAAGCTGTACAAGAACAAGTATGAACACTCCATTGATTTTACTAATCCGTGCCACAATAATAATGAAGTGAGCGACAAGTCACTAGACGTCAACTGATGACAATTACCAATCAGATTAGAGAGGTGTCGAAATATAAGCCAGTCAACTTTACTTCGGCTTAATTAATAGCTTATTTAAAACTTCTTAATAAATCGGACATAGAGCGAATAAGTTGTTTAAATAAGAACATCATCGAAATTAAAATGATAAGTTCGTTGACATGGTTGAGCGATTTATCATGTACCATTTGATGACAATTACAGAAGTCTTGTATTGGGATCGCATTTATATTTTGGTATGTGCTTACATCCTTTTTGCTAGTTAATAAGAAACGTTTTTTTTAAAGTGGTTTTTTTTAATCGGTACAGCCTCGCCGCTTACTAAAAAAATTAGTCTTCCAACATTAAACGTCCAGGCTACATAATCCATAATTCTATTATAAACTAGCTTCTGCCAGCGGCTTCGCCTGCGATCCCAGCGGTAAAATGCCTATGTATCACTTCAGACCATAATCTACCTCTGTTCCGAATTTCATTCCGGTCCCTTCAGTCGTATTAATATGACTGAGTAACAAACATACACATAAACTCACATTATTTTCATTTATAATATCGAGTCAAGCTAATTTCAACCATTGGCCTTTCAGTTACAGCGTAAAGTCTATGAATGAGTATTGTAAACGTTAGAGTAGACAAATACAATCAGTAATCACCGAATTGCTATCTGGAGTTTCACGTGTTATTGTGAGTCAACCATAAAAGATAGACATATGCTGTCGAGGAATATTTTTTATATAATTTTAAGGAGAATATTTCCGTCATACATGATTTCTATGCAGCTTTAACCTATAAGCCTGCACACGCGACGGAAGTTTAAAAAATGGAGTAACTTCTCCCGTTTTCCCAATATTTCCCTTCACTGCTCTGCTCCTATTGATCGTAGCGTAATGAAAAGTATACTATAACCTGCCCAAGAGTATGAAGAATAATTGTGCCAAATTTCATTGAAATCCATCGAGTAGTTTTTGTTTCCATAACGAACATACATACAGACAGACAGACAAAAATTTTACTGATTGCATTTTTGGCATCAGTAGCGATCCCTAACCACCCCTTGATAGTTATTTTTTAAATATATTTTATGTACAGAATTTACCTCTCTACAGATTTATTATAAGTATAGATTAACTGCTGCTTTTACTACGCCGACATCAAATATCGATTTAATTTTGATGAACACCACCTCTTTAAAATATTTCTTCTTAAATCCAACAATTTCCTCGAAGTACGTTGTTGTTCAAATTCTGATAAGTAATTCGCAGCTTCACCTACTTCTATATGACAGATATCGTATCCGTCAAGTACGTTAGTATCAAAGTGCTGTAGTCTTATGCCCTAAAGGGACGGCGCGTTTACTAACCTGCCTCTTTCAATCAACTGCATGATTTGTATGCCTATGTATGCGGCAAGCCTTCGACACTTTAACGTAATGTAATTACATAGTCTACTTCTAAAGTCACCGAAAGCTAGAAAATGATTTATACTTCATCAATGTCTAAATCTTGTTTAGATGGAAAATGAACCGTGAGAAAATTGTGGTTACAGTGTAACATTTGAATTGAAAACTAAATAACAATAGACTTATAAAAAAAACTTAAACCAAAAATTGTGATGGGAGCTTTTCTCAGTTATTTACGTGAGTAAACCATTTTTTAATTAAATCGGTTAATATTAGAACTACTTGCAGTTACCAAACAATTATCCACCAATAAGTATCAATAACAAAAATATTCAATAACAATAATAATAATCGCACCGAAAGCAGCGGTAAACAAGCGACATTTCCATTCACACCTCAATACACATTCATAACAACCATTAAACATAAAGCATCCAATAAAAACAAAATTAAAATACCGTCTGCCCTTTGACATCAACTTCGAACTTCGCTCATACACTTCACATCTTCACGAAGGCAGCAAAATTTCACACCCGACAGAGGAATAACGGGGCCCACACGTCATACACATTAGCAAAGCACCATGGGACATCACAATGGCGACGAATGTATCAGGAGAACCCTAAACGTTTATTACGAGTGTTGAAGTGTGAATAATGGTCCAACCAGTCACAGTTGTGTCACAACTAGCTTTGCTGTTTCACAGCTATCCAATGGACATTCTTCATAGAATTTACCGTCCCAACCTCCAGGCTTGTCTCTCTGATGTTCGTAGCTTGTTACTCATTTAGTAGATAATTTATTGTTGGCCTAAAAGATATTTTACACCCTATTTCTATAAGTCGTCTAGGATCAGAATCATATCAAACATTTTAAAACAACGCAACATTAAAATTAATCCAACTGTTCGTAAGGTAATAAGATGCAGTCAAAGAACAGAATGTAATAATTTGAATGACAGCTGAGAGACCTTCAATTAAGTTTCCTGTGGTCACCACCTAGCAAGCTTGTTTAACATCTTTGTTTTGAAGCTAACTGAATATATTGTATTTGCAAAACCTCGTCAAACCTATCATCGGTCAATTAACACCTGCAGTATGTAAGGTACAGTGTAACTATAAATTAGAGAATATAAAGACCGGTAACGCCTCAGTCTTGTGTGTGCAGTATGTTGAGTTAGAGCATAACAGGCTAAAGTCAACTGCTCCATGGAAACCATGTTTTACGATCGGATTATGCTAGAAGATGAATGCAAGGCAATCAGACGTAAGAACGAACAAAGCATCGTACTGGAAAATGTGACTTTCAATCGTAAAACTGAACATAATTTTATAGCTTCCCGGTATTGTAACACATGGCGGGCGGGCCGAGATTCCTACAGGCGCTATCCGAGCAAGTAAGAGTCGTTACAAGCACTACACGTTGTCTTACTTGTTAGTACAGAGTGCTTGTTACCTTTCATTATTATTAACGACCCACCGAGGAATGTTTATTGAACTAAGATGTCGGGTTTGGTATGCGGTATGTGCGAAAGTGAGTATTTCTTTGCTTATTACTAAGCGCTTTTCAAGAGTCTCCGAGTTTTGTTTGGAGGCTTGTCTGCAATCATCATTACTTACCGAAGGATCATAATATCGAGCTGTGTTAGTCAAATCAATGACTGCTCCCAATTTTGGAACTTTCTCAAGTAGAGCTGGAATATCCCATCTGCAAATAAAAAAATATATTTATCTTAATAAGATGTATATGATACCTGAGTGCAACATGAATTTATGACGGATTGATACGTAGGAGTAAACCCAAATAGTGTCCAATTACAGAAAACTGTGTACCCGTCGGCGTTAAATAAATAACTTGAAGAAAAACGTTCAACGCAACAGTTTAAATACAAAAATAACTTTCTAAATTAGTTGCGGCGCCGGCCTACCTACTGCACGTCGGCAAACATTTGCATAATTATGGCGTTTTAACAAGTTTTTCTTTAAACAATAAAACACTCTGAATTATCAACCTTCAGCTGAAATCAATCATGAAAATGAAAGAATGTAATAACACCTTTTCAGCTCAACCTTCCTTACGTAAGAGCCATAAGATGTCTAGAATACTTGAACTACAAATATATGTACGGACTAATGTATACCTATGTCCAATCAATTAATTCTCATTGAAAATTTAATTATCTCATCATCATTACGATGAAGGGGTCCTGATAGGAGCCTCTTACTGTAAACTGTCGGTTTTTCAATTTACAAAATGTCCACTTATACCCAGATGGCGCCACGCACTACACGAATGTGATACTCAGTCTTATTTACATATCATTAAGGATCGCATTCAAATGTGAATTGAAAAAGTAATATGATATCCGTGAAATTGATCCCTACTCTGGTACTGACGCTAATTACCAATATTTATTTCATTTGTGCTGTCCACACTTTCACTAATAAATAAATTATCTTTACGGGACATTTGAATACGTCAAAGGCTCGTAGAAAAAAGGACTTACATTTCTTTAATCTCCTTGTTCCACGCTTGGACCTTCTGTAACAAATAAAAGAAATATTTATAGAGACTAAATTAAGTTAATTCTGTGTTTGATTGAGTTTCGGGTAAAGTTGTATTGGTATTAGCTCACGCTTCTATGATCGTAGACAATGTGTCTTTGAGAAAGCCGCACGTAGGCGACGGCGTGTGATAAGGGAGCAGATCAATCATTTGCTGGCCCTACCTGACCGGTGTCAATGAACTATGCCCAATGAGGGCCACCTGACACGATCCACTTTGGAGACTTTTCGACATACGACACAGGTTAAAATCTAAAATTAATATGCTAATCATATGAAAACGTTAACGTTTAACTAATATTGAACCAGATAACCAAAACATTTAACCATTCCCAGAAATCGATAAGATTTTATATCGACAGTTTAAACAATGAATTAGAATTTTAAATAACACTAAAATCGTTGAACATAAATCTTAAAACCCATTCCTGTTGCACCGCAGGCCAAAAAATTTTGGGTGAAAATTTTCAATTTTGCCCAAAAATTACGTTAAATAAAATGTCAGGGTCGATAATAATAGCTTGTTAGAGTGGTAATAATTTATTGACGGTGTTGACACGATGTAAAAAGATTGTAAAAAAGTGAGCGCCAGGAGGTGTGTCTAAATGGGGTTAATTTTCAATTTGGATTCGCCGGTGGCCTTTATAAATTAACGGACAGCAATTTAAATAAATCCACGTAGTTATAATACGGAGAAACACGCATAAATATTAAATATCGTTCCTTTATTAAAAACATTTTATGTGATCGATTAAAATTATTCGGTGACATGTGAAAGCTGAAATATTTCGCCAACATCTTCTTTAAAACGAAGTAAGTAATTAGTAACGAGAAGCAATCGTGCAATTAATTAATTGCTTGACAATCTGACAATTACTTTCATATAAATGTAAATACAGGCCATGAATGGCGAATATGTTGGATGGATTACCAAGTTAGTACAGGATTAAGTTAACATATTCAGGTAAGTTAGATTAATTTGACTTTATATCAGTGACTATTTTCTTATTAATAGAATTGATCTACATGTTTATCTAAATTTAATAGGTATATTATTATTAAATACAGGAGAAAATAACACAGATGAATATTTGCCGGTTCAACATAAATGGAGGTTCGACAATAACAACCGCGACCTCATCGGGTGCACTTACCACGATTTTCAATTAACATTAAAGCACCGGAACAAATAAAACGCAGTCTGGACAAAGGAGTTTATTGAAACCGCGAATATCAATGTAAAAAATGCGGTGGCACACAAAATTAAACCTTGACTCCATATATGTACTCGAAAAACAACGCAATTTGATTTTACTGCCCTGTGGCGAAGCAATAATGAGGGCTTTGAAAGGGTAACGGCAAAAGATGGCGACCTTTTTATTTAGATGCTCATTAGTCGAGTCGAATGAAGGAACAAAACATAACATTTAAATCAATAACGATAAAACAAATCGATAACAAGCATACACATCGCAAACATAATTGCGAATTAGCGTTCTATAATAAGGTTACCTTCGGACGTATTATTTAGAATTAAATGCAGTACCGCAGACCGCGCAATAAAATCGATGAGATGATACCCGATCATAAATCGATTTCATTACAATATTAATGACAATCGTAACTCTCAATCACAAGTTGGTTTTGCATGCATCGATACGCAGTTACATTATTGGCTCTACCTTCGATTAACGTCAACAAAATACAATATTTATAAACGCGTATTTAAATATGACATTTTATTTTGGTGACTGTCGAATCGTTATTACATTGCTGTGTGGTCTACAAAGAAGATTTGACCACCGTTTTAATATTTAGGATCTCCCTGTCAAAAAATAAAGGCTATGGAATCGGTGGAATAGACTAATTAATTATTTATAGAATATCAAAAACAACGAGACCCTACAGTTATGATATTGATGGTCTGACAAGTATGTCAACACAACGCATAAGGTTTCATGAAAATTGGAGTTCTTAACTTTTAAAACGTCTACATCTACCTAACTATAGGTACATATTGTAGTTTTTAAATTAGTAAAACTTCGTCACAAGTAAAAAATCTGCTATTTATACGTTGTGATAAAGATTGCTTCGTCAAGCCTCTCAACAGAGAAACATGTGGCACAATGTGGCATCGTGATTCAAGCTGTGATTACGAATAACGTTCACGCAATCGAAAGAAGTCGTTAATAAAATAATCAACAATGCGATTCAATAAATCGCCGATTGCCCGCTGACAAAAACCATACGACACGACAAGACATTACTTACACGTGTCCTACAACGCAATAAATGTAAGAATGTCATTTTTACGACGTACAACATGTCTACGTAGATTTGCAAACACGGAGGGGGAGGATTACCACCTGCAGAGATGTGACGGTATTGAGATGTATTCATTTGAAGATAAGCATATCTTTAAGTAAAACATGCAAGATCTTTATCTCTTTATATAACCAAATTGATATGAAATATGCCCAATCCCTTGGCACCTGTGCCACAGTTCCCATGCTTCTTGATTTATTAATTAATGCAGCCTCGGTTACCCGAAAACTAACAATATCTTAAATGAATTCCAACATATTCCCATTGCCTGAGTGTTTGCAAACGAGATTTAAAATCGCTCAAATCAATTTATAATAAAAAACAGACCACAACGTACACCAGTACGAGTGTTAAACAAAAAATAAAAGGTTAAAGCGCGAGGACCTCCCATCAAATTACAAGTGGCAAGCTCTGGACTTATCGCAACGATCGCGTGTCGACAAAACGAATAACACCTTCGCACGCTTCGATCATATTTGACAAATGCGAGGTTCAAATAAATCGCAAACACAATATTCCAATGAACGCTCAACAAACATTCAACCTTAATAATAAATAATAAGAAATCAAATAGCGCAACAGCCTTCGAGATAGTGATCAGAATATGTTAAGTAATGATGTAGACTTAAAGTTTAATAGAACTTACATAGTTCTACATACATAAAGGAAGCTAAACACAAGATACAAATTGAACAACATCAACACAATACTGAACAGAGACACAAAAGCATGTAGACATTTCGCAAAATTGAAACGTTTTGGGTGAGTCACGTAAAGTTCGAGTATTAAATTTCAATGAAATGTTCAGGGAACAAATCTGTACCGATACCAAATAGAATTTACGAGGGAACAAGAAAGAGCTTGTAGCTGCTTATCACGACACAAACACCAAATGACTATTGTGACTTTCTCTAGACGATCCACGGTAGTTTTGCGACTTGCAAGTCATATGCTACTGCAGTAAGTAGACGGAACAACATAATCACATTTGGATAATCATACCCGGTTTGATGCAAATGGCAAAACTTTAACTAGTAATAGTAGCCAGTAAAACAAGCTTATCTACACCATCTTCCTAATTTCGTAATCACCTAATTACAAAGTACAACGAAGCTTATTAGAGACATTTAATTATTCAGATTCATTGTACATTGTTAAGTGACAAAAATTAAGACGGCGCCGCGGTCTATAAATCATTTATAGGGTAACTGTTTCGACATTTTAAAATATGCAAGATCATCGTTACTTTTTGGAAAAGAATTAGATATTTTATTTATTTGTTAATAAGAACTGTTTTTGTTTGTACCCGTTGCGATATGCAGTCGTGGCCGCATTGCGTTGTCATCATGTTGTTTTTGACAATCATCTGATCCGTTACGTCGTTTATTCCAATGGTAATGATGGCATAATTGACAGAGACCAACTATTGTTCCCATTGTGTTCTATTGATATTACAGTTTCGTCGCCTTGTAATGGTTTAGTTTTTGTATTGTTTTATGGATCGTTACGGACTTGTTCTCTTTTGACACCTAGTCGACTGCTTCGGTAGATTTAAAAAGGGTGGAGTTGACTCATTGTGACCTGTCTTAGAATTGTTCAAATTATACTAATTATATTCTGATATTATAGGAACATGTGTCGCGCACGTGACGTGTCGTAACTTCTTACATGCTTATTACATTCTCTAACAAGAAATAACAATCTAAGCGCCATAAAATAAACGTAGTTCAATTTATATTACAAACCACAATCAACGAATATTAATGTCACGCATATGACCCTCGTTACATTCGAATATTGAGAGTAAGACATAAAATTTAACAAGGTAATTGAGTAATGATCAAAAAAGCATTTGATGTCAAAATAATATTGATATGTGGCTGACTTCTTACTTATGCGGGCTGAGTCAATACAGAAAACACTTGTGGTACTCGCTGTTAACTAATTTAAGAGTTATACGTGTTAAAAAAACATAGGGGTTTCAATAACACCAATTAATCTAAGATTTCTTAGAAGTCCATCAGGAAATGAGAGTAAAGCCCAGAACGTTGAACTTAGAACAACTTACTTCACAACAGTACTAGTTACTATTAGTAAAGTATCATTGGACAAAAAGTAACCGCAATCAAAAGTGAAACCATCGAGATTTAAAATTTGAAGATCATAAAAGTACAAACTAAGATAAGTATCAAAATATCGCAAGAAGCGCTGCATAAAAAACGAAAAGGAACGACCTGTTAAAATCGGATTCCGTATTCGTTTCGACCGATTAATCGAATGAAAAGCCGGTATCGTATGTCGGGGGCATTTATCGCGCCTAATTGCGACCACCGCACCGAAATTCAGTTTAAGAACGTACTGGGTGGCGTGATGGGCACCGATGATACTTCTCGTATAACCAAACGTCTTATAAGTTATGGGATAATGAAAACCCCTTCCAGACACCTACAAATTGATTATGATGGCATAAAAGTCATTCGGATTTTATCGAATCTTAAGGATAATAACTAATCCTCCTTATGATAATGACAATAATGTATTTCCATTCTATCGATTTGAGACGAATCGATTTAACAAAACTTAACAGTATCTGCTTATTTATAATTAGGAGTCTGATCGTGTCAGCTCTTTTTTGAATGCAGTATATTTATA